GTACGGAGGATCCACCTAGATCCCCCATCATCTGATAAACACATAGAAACAATGGATTCAGTCAGTGTGTGTGTTTCCTACAGATGGATCCAGTCATGGGAACCCACCAGAGAGATGTCCCCGTCCTCTGTATTCCCGGGATTCCACACAGGAAGGTCACACCATCCCTCACCATCATCAGGTAGATGAGGAACAATCACTGATAGTATCATTAGGATCTGTACATTATCTGCATTGTTACCATTGATGTCATTTTTTTATTATATATTCAGAGTGGAAACCTGAGAGATCCTAAAGTTGAGGTTAAAGAAGAGAAAAAAAGGAGGAGGAGGAGGATGAGGATGGGGGGATGGAGGAGTCAGAGCTTCTAGAAGAACACAAAGATCTGTACCAGGACACCATGGTGGAGTCATCCAGCTACAGGAACCCACCAGAGAGATGTCCCCGTCCTCTGTATTCCCGGGATTCCACACAGGAAGGGTCACACCATCCCTCACCATCACAAGGTTGGTGGCAGGACGGACTGGTCTTAGGGTACACTGGGTATTTGCCTGTGTGGACAGGGGCTTTCTGGACAGGGCCAAAACTCTGGGAACTCTGCTGCATTTCTTTATATCTTGCAATGATGTGGAGGGATCCTGGGCAGAGGCATATTGAGCTCTGGAGCCCCGGAGCTATGGAGGGCAGCCAGGGGGAGGGTGACCTTGCTGCTCTGATGCTATTGTTAGGGTCCCAGGAGGCTGGACTGGCTCCCAAGTGGCTGCAGGGCTCTGAGCTGATGAAGAGTCTCTCTCTTACAGCTCAGAGCTAGCAGTGACATTCCCCCCTTTTCCCACATGGACAGAGAGAGAGATGGTTCTGTTCCTCCTCCTCCCCTCTCCTCCTGTGTCTGCCCACCTACACCCCCCGGCAGTGCTGTGCCCCAGAGATGGAGATATGTGGGTGGAAAGTTTTCTTTTTCTACATTCTGCGGAGGATTACACTGGGCTGCTCAGTCTAAAATGCCTGGGACAATTTTATTTGCCAGGTCCAGACCTAGTTGGTGGGATGGAACATCTATAACATGGACTTGTGGAGACAATGTGTGGATTTTGTGTGTGATGTCACAATCATAAATCTTACATTTTACAGATGATATTTTTCTCTCATTTCCTTGATTTAGAGTGGAGATCCAATCGATATAGAATTTGAGGTGAAAGAAGAAGAAGAAGAAGAGGCGTATGTGAGGGATGATCAGCAGTCTATGGAGGAGGATGGAATAACGGGGACATTTTTATAGAGGAGGACACTCCTACAGAGATCAGCACAGGTGGGTCATGAACACTAAATCCATCCCCCCACCCATACTGCTCACTGATTGGTCCAGAGTAGGGCGGGGACTGGGTGATATCAGCCTGTAATCCCCTGGTCACTTTCCTGAGCTGTGTTCCCCCCGTCCTGTATTCCTGGATTTCTCTCGGATAATCTTCCTTCTCTGTGCTGCAGACACAATTTATGTCTCTAGACTGGATTTATGGAGGTTCTGGGGTTCAGCTGCCAGCAAAATGTTGATTTTCATTTTCTAAGGCATTGCTAGGATTCAACCTACAGTTGCAAGCAAAAAAAGTATGTGTGACCCCTTGGGATTACGTGGAGTTTTGCATGAATTGGGCATAAAATGTGCTCTGAACGTCATCTAACTGAGTGCAGGTGGTCACAACAATTGAAGCACACAGTCTGCTGAACATAATACTACACAAACATTAGATGTTGCCATGGTGTAATTGCACATAACATGTAAACATTCACAGTGCAGCTCCAGGGAGAGTTGGTGTGAGGCCCTAGCTTAATGACTTCTCCCAGAGCTAATTGGAGCCAGGAGTGAGCCAACCTTGACTCCAATCAGTGTGATGATATTGGATGTGTTGCTGACAGCTGTCCTGCCCTTAGAAAACACACACCTGTTTTGGTTTACTGAATTACATTTCCTGACCCTGCACTGTCTGATGTGAACCATACTCCTGACAAAAGCAGAGCTCTATGTTGAGACATTACATACTCCTACCATCAAGAATTGTTGACTTGCATGATTACATACTCCTGACCCTGTTACAAAACTCATGTTGTACAAAACTTGATTTGCACTATATACTTAGTTGTACATTACATCCTCCTGACCCCTGCACTAAGACATATTTCTGACAGACTGTACACTACTATACTCCTGAAAGTTTGCACTATGCTACTCTCCCTATGTTGTCCTGTAAAAAACTGACTGCAAGAGCACAGCGCAGAATGCTGCATGAGGTAAAGAAGAATCCCAGAGTGTCAGCTAAAGACCTACAGAAATCTCTGGCACATGCTAACATTTTTGTTGACACATCTACAATAAGGAAAACATTAAACAAAAATGGAGTACATGGGAGGACACCACGGAGGAAGCCATTGCTGTCCAAAAAAAGAAGATTGCAGCACGTTTGAAGTTTGCAAAAGAGCACCTGATGTTCCACAGCACTACTGGCAAAATATACTGTGGACAGATGAAACCAAGATTGAGTTGTTTGAGAAGAACACACAACACTATGTGTGGAGAAAAAAAGGCACAGCACACCAACATCAAACCTCATCACCCCCACTGTGAAACATGGCGGAGGGAGCATCATGGTTTGGTTGCTGCTTTACTGAATCAGGGCCTGGACGGGATTGTTGTCATTGATGGGAAAATGAATTCCAGAGTTTATCAAGGCATTTTGCAGGAATACGTACTGACCATCTGTCTGCCAACTGAAGCTGTGCAGAGGAGGACATGACATGCATGCAACAGGACAATGACCCAACAGCATACAAGTCATTCAACAAAAAACAATAACTACTCCTGACAACAGCACAGAATACGCCTTCTGGAGTGGCCCAGTCAGAGTCCTGACCTGACCTCACATTGAAATGCTGTGGCATGACCTTAAGAGAGTGATTCACACCAGACATCCCAAGAATATTGCTACACTATTATGTTCAGCAGACTGTGTTTCTTCTATTGTTGTGACTTATGTTCTGACTATTCAGAGCTATGTTGTACATCCTTTTATGCCCAATATGTCATGTACAAAAGTCAACGTAATTCCAAGGGGTTCACATGGTTTTTTTTCTTGCAACTGTACCAGTCAGGTCCATAAATATTGGACATGGACACAATTCTAACATTTTTGGCTCTATACACAACCACAATGGATTTGAAATGAAACAAACAAGCTGTACTTTAACTGCAGACTGTCAGCTTTAATTTGAGGGTATTTACATCCAAATCAGGTGAACGTGTCTGGAATTACAACACCTGTTTGCATATGTGCCTCCCACTTGTTAAGGTTCCTGACCAAAAGTAATGGGAGCAAAATGTTCATTTCACCATAGATGTTACTAGACCTAGGTGCCCTGCATGTGACTTGTATCTTTGTCCCCCCATACTGTAAGATCTCTGACTGAACATTCTCCCAGGGTTCCTTGTACTCTCTGTTATCTGCTGGCTGTGCCCTGGAGGGATATGTCTGTATAGTCTACATCCTCAAGACCCCCTGTCTATATACTGATGTTGTTGTACAGTCTGACCCCTGGAGATGGGAGGCAGCGGTGTGGGATCTCTGCAACCTACCCCTACACTAATACATTTAACTTCTACTGATTACTGATGCAATATATACTCTATGTTGTACCTACATACTCCTGACCCCCCTGCACTATATACTCTATGTTGTACATTACATACTCCTGACCCCTGCAATATATACTCTATGTTGTACATTACATACTCCTGACCCCTGCACTATATACTCTATGTTGTACATTACATACTCCTGACCCCTGCACTATATACTCTATGTTGTACATTACATACTCCTGACCCCTGCACTATATATACTCTATGTTGTACATTACATACTCCTGACCCCTGCACTATATACTCTATGTTGTACATTACATACTCCTGACCCCTGCACTATATACTCTATTGTACATTACATACTCCTGACTCCTGACCCCTGCACTATATACTCTATGTTGTACATTACATATTCCTGACTCTCCCCTCTCCCCCCTCCCCCCACTGCTATATATACATATATATATGGATTCTCTTTTGTTCCCCCCATTTCCTCCCAGCTGGACATTTTATATCGGATGATGTGATTGGAGCACAGACTTTTACATGGTGATAATAATGTGATAACATCCTCCAACTTTGGACCCTTAAACAGAAAGTGATAATGAGGGAGGAGTCAATACCCCAATGATGGTGGTCTTCAGGATCAGTCCAGTCTTCATCTTGGTTGTTCTCCCCCATCCTCACTCTCTGACCTCTGGTGGGGCTCAGCCCCGCTGTTCTTCATGACTAAATCATGGACTAAATAAGGAAGTGCAGTACTTCTTGTGTTGGGAAGATGGCGATGAGTGATAGAGGGGGTGGGGGGACCCTCGTCCTATAATCCCCTCATCACTGTCCCTCCTATAAAAGACAGTTCTGGTTGTTTCCTCACTCTCTGACTAAGGTCCATGAATAAAGAAATGACCTGGTAGGAGATCAGAGGAGCCATTTCCTAGTTCCCTTGAGGGTGGAATTGTAAGCTCCTCAGAGACCAAGCTGCCTGATGTGGGCGGAGTCCTGGTTTGGGGGAACCAATCAGCTCCTGTCTAGTAATCCTCTTTGTCTTTGTATTTTAGTCCATGGCCGGGAGATGAGGAAAACCTCCGAGGATTGTCTCACTTTGTCTCCAGACTGGAAAGTAGAAGATGAGGACATCACACAGTATAGTCCAGGAGAAAAAAACCCGGCTCCCTCCAATGTCCATCCGGCACCACCCAGTGTAGATGGACCATCGGATTCCTCGTATCCTGAGGAACCTCAGACTGTGCGGGACCGGGCCGGCCTTCCAACAGGGAAGAAGCTTCTCCTGTACTGAGTGCGGGGAAGGGTTTCCATCTAATAAATCCAATTTTAATAATGTGCATAAAAGATCTCACACGGGGGAGAGCCGTATTCCTGTTCTGAGTGCGGGAAATGTTTTTCACGAAAGTCCAATCTTCAAATACATCAGAGATCTCACACAGGGGAGAAGCCATATTCCTGTCCTGAGTGTGGGAAATGTTTTTCACAGAGAAGTCCAATCTTTACACACATCAGAGATCTCACACAGGGGAAAAGCCATATTCCTGTCCTGAGTGTGGGAAATGTTTTTCAGACAAAGTCCAGTCTTTATGCACATCAGAGATCTCACACTGGGGAGAAGCCATATTCCTGTCCTGAGTGCGGGAAATTTTTTCACTGAAGTCCAATCTTTACAACACATCAGAGATCTCACAGGGGGAGGAGAAGCCATATTCCTGTCCTGAGTGTGGGAAATGTTTTTCAGAGAAGTTCAGTCTTTACAAACATCAGAGATCTCACATGGGGGAGAAAAAGTATTCCTGTCCTGAGTGTGGGAAATGTTTTTTCAAGAAGTCATCCAATCTTTACACACATCAGAGATCTCACACTGGGAGAGAAGCCGTATTCCTGTCCTGAGTGTGGGAAATTTTTTTCAAGAAAGTCCTATTCTTTACACACATCAGAGATCTCACACGGGGGAGAAGCCGTATTCCTGTCTGAGTGCGGGAAATGTTTTTCACAGAAGTCCAATCTTTATGCACATCAGCGATTTCACACAGGGAGAAGCCTTATTCCTGTCCTGAGTGTGGGAAATTTTTTTCAGACAAGTCCGGTCTTTCACAAACATCAGAGATCTCACACGGGGAAGAAGCCGTATTCCTGTCCTGAGTGTGGGAAATGTTTTTCACAGAACTCTGATCTTTGCAGGCATCAGAGATTCTCACACGGGGGGAGAAGCCCATATTCCTGTCCTGAGTGAGGGAAATGTTTTTCCTCACTGAAGTCCTGTCTTCCTGACATCACATCAGGGGTCCCACATAACCCTCAAGGTGTATCAGTGCCTTAAGTGTGGGAAATGTCCGTCTTTGAGAGTCCATCCAGGGAGGACAAGCTTGTCCTTGGAGCAGATCAGACACTGGCTGCAATGATAGACAATCGGGGGCAGGAAAAAAGCCCCTCTAAGTGTAGCCCCCCTAATACATTTTCTGAGTGGTGTACAAGGCAGACCCCTCCCATAAAGTCAGAGTAAGCAGGCTCATCAGTAACACATCACCGGGAAGAAGGACTCCAGAGTGATCGGTGTGTGCCGCTGTCTATGGGGGGAGGAAGCTGGCCACAGACATCCTCACAGCTGGAAATCAGGGCTGGAACGCAGTGTGTGGATTGTGCAGTGTGCGTGATGATGTTGCCTGGGAAGAATGCAACATGTTTCTGAGCATGTGCAATGTTCTGTAACAGTCATGTGTGCTCAAGGAGCTTGGACCTCTTCCCGGGGATTTTTTACTGATGAGCCTGTTTACTGTTGTGTTGCTGACCTTGAAATACCAATATATTTATTAGTGAGTCTACACTTAGAGGGGCTCTTTCCTGTGGGAAGAAGACACCCTGATATACACCTCAGATATATACTCCGGCTGATCTTCATCATGGAAGAAACAGTTGATAAGGAGATGAGAGCCCCCCCAAAGACATGGATGAAGTGCAGTAAATGTCGGGGTGCAGAGTGGTCAGTAGATCCTGGAAATGAAGGACACAACTTCAGCCCTTCTTGGGTGTCGGAGTTGCGTTTCCTGATAATGATATAGCGGGTTACAGAGCTAGAAGCCGGGAGAGCCCAGATCTCGTTATCGGGGAACTTTACACAGACAACAAGAACTTCTGAAGTTGATGTCCTTCATTTCAAGGCTCTACAGAACAGTGGTGACCCCGAAGCGTCTCTCTGTCTTCAGTCCATCCTTCTCCCATCCCCCAACAGGAGGGAAGGAGAACTCCGCCCCAAACTAGGGGGGAACTTTCCTCTCATTATTTCCCTTGGCTTCTGTGTGGGTTTGGGTGGTTGGAGGAGTGCGGCACGAGAGGGAACACAGCTTGTTGTTCTATGTCTACATATGGGGTCTGGGTAGAGGGGATCCACCGGAAAATATTTCTACTCTTTGATTTTGTGCAAATCGTTTCTGTTTTCACTTTGAAGGGCGATATTATGTGTGGTTTGTAAAAGGGATTGGCCCAATAGTTTACCACCCCACTTAGAGAATAGATGAACTAATATGACCAGCATTCATTCAGCCATGTCACATGTTGGGATCTTTTCTACAATACTTTGTTATAATAATGGAACACGTTGTGTATTGTATTGTACACCAATAATAATGACTCCGCCCCCACATTCCAGACAAGGGATCTTCCTGACCAATCGGATTCCTTCCTTTGTTATTTCCTGATTCTATGATTACAATCTTGTTAGAAGTAAAACTATAATAAAGAATTTATTGAGTGAAAAGAATTGTGTGTGTCGGGGCCATGATGGGGATCTTTGGGGCCCAAACATTTCTCACAGGAGACACTTTACAAGCCTTTACAGGTCATCCAGTTTCTGGTTCACCATGAATAATGGCCAGAGTGCAGGGGTCAGGAGACTACTTCAGCCCTACAACAACGTGCCTGCAAAACAACGTGCAGTGGTCAGAGTATGTGATTTACATCCCAGAGTACAGAGTAGTGGTCAGGAGTATGTGATTTTCCCATCCCAGAGTACAGAGTGCAGTGGTCAGGAGTATGTGATTTACATCCCAGAGTACAGAGTGTAGTGGTCAGGAGTATGTGATTTACATCCCAGAGTACAGAGTGTAGTGGTCAGGAGTATGTGATTTACATCCCAGAGTACAGAGTGTAGTGGTCAGGAGTATGTGATTTACATCCCAGAGTACAGAGTCAGTGGTCAGAGTACAGAGTGTAGTGGTCAGGAGTATGTGATTTACATCCCAGAGTACAGAGTGTAGTGGTCACAGAGTATGTGATTTACATCCCAGAGTACAGAGTGTAGTGGTCAGGAGTATGTGATTTACAGCCCCTGAGTACAGAGTGCAGTGGTCAGGAGTAGTGATCATTACAGCCCCAGAGTACAGAGGTCAGTGCAGTCAGGAGTATGTGATTTCCATCCCAGAGTACAGAGTGCAGTGGTAGGTGTATATGTGATTTACATCCCAGAGTACAGAGCAGTGGTCAGGCAGGTATATGATATATCTTAGGCCTGTGTACAGAGTGCAGTGGTCAGGAGTATATTACAGGCCTGTGTACAGAGTGCAGTGGTCAGGAGTATATCTTAGGCCCTGTGTACAGAGTGCAGTGGTCAGGAGTAGATTACAGGCCTGTGTACAGAGTGCAGTGGTCAGTATATATATCTTAGGCCAGTGTACAGAGTGAGTAGTGGTCAGGAGTATATCTTAGGCCTGTGTACAGAGTGCAGTGGTCAGGAGTATATCTTCAGGCCTGTGTACAGAGTGCAGTAGTGGTCATAGTATGCCCAGCATGCATAGTACAGTGGTCAGGATGTTGTGATATACAGCCCAGGAGTATACAGGTATAGTACACTGGTGAAGAATATAAACCCTTGTAAGGATGCAGGTATCCAGGACAGCAGACAGCAGGGATGACCAGATCGGTGGGCTATGCCTAAGAAATGTGGAATAAGATGAGTAGGAGAGGAGTGTGATTACAGGGGGTGTAAAGTCAGGAGGTTTGTTACCTCCATGCATTCTATATATGAAGGTAAATACCCTTCTCTGCAGCAGCAGCCCCCCCCCAATACTCACCTGAGCCCCATCCTGATCCAACAATGTGCACAAGATCTCAGCAGTCTGGGGACTCTCCTTATTGGCTGAGACAGGAGCAGGGGCCATTGGCTCCTGCTGCTGTCAATCACAGCCAGTGAGAGGAGGGAGAGGGGACTCTGTGGACACACAGAGCAGCGGCTTGCTCCTGAGCCTGCTTGGATGCCCCCATAAACAAGCTGCTTGCTGTGGGGGCACTCAACAGAGAGGGAGGGGCCAGGAGCACCTGTGGGGGACCCGAGAAGAGGAGGATCCAGGCTGCTCTGTGCAAACCATCACACACAGCAGTAAGTATGACATGTTTGTTTTAAAAAAAAAAAAAATGTTGCCTTTACAATCACTTTAAGTGGAGTTTACTAATGGACACGACACCCTCCGACACCCACAGACCATAAACAAAGCAAAAGTGACAAATAAATGTGACAGCAAATAACCAACCCAACAACCTGACTATAATACACTGTGTACAATGGAGGGAAGCTGACACACACCGGGACTGGGACTGGGAATCAGGGGAGCAGAGATGGGGAACAGGATGCAGGAAACCAGAATCAGGGGAAAGGGAAAGTATACAGAGATACAGGACGCAGGATCCAGCAGGGAAGCGGCTCACAGGCAGAACACTGAGGCACTGATGAAAACTACGGGGGGATTATATACCTTCCCAGCAGCCAGCATCAGGTGGAGCCTCATTACTGACATCTTCTGTCTGCTGGGAGACACAGCAATGTCTCCTCTCTCTACTTCCTCCACTGACTCACCCTCACCCAGAGCTTCCTGTCTGTACCTGACATCACTTCCTGTCTGTACCTGACATCACTTCCTGTCTGTACCTGACATCACTTCCCTGTCTGTACCTGACATGACTTCCCTGTACCTGACATGACTTCAGTCTGTACTGTACCTGTCTCACCTACCTGACTGTACTGACACTTCCTGTCTGTACCTGACATCACTTCCTGTCTGTACCTGACATCACTACCTGACCTTGTCTGTACCTGACATCACTTCCTGTCACATCACTGTACCTGACATCACTTCCTGTGTACCTGACATCACTTCCTCTCTGGGTAGAAGGGGAGATCACACTGTGGTGGAGCTCAGAGGAACTGCAGCTCCAAGAAATGTCTCATAGTTTGAATCTTGTTTGTTGTGTTCTCCAAGTGTTCTCATGTCCATGTCCATGTCTGGCAGGTTCCAGGACTTTTCAGAGTGGCAGTGAGGTGATGACTCCGAACACTCTCTGGGTTCCATCACCAGGCACTGCAATTATACCCGACTGCTGGGAGCCACATCTCCTTTCCTACAGTGAAAGTATAATTGTGACATCAGCAGAGAGGCAGTGGGAGGGTGGGATCAGGTAAGTACCACCACTGACCACCAATGCTGGGCTGGGGGTACACTTTATTCTCACTGACACCAACAATGGGGTATTTTTTATCTCACTGACACAATGACACCAATGATGGATGTCAAGGAAATCCCACGGTGACTGGGTAACTGGAGTGAGATCCCTTGATTGGTGGAGAATGAATGAGGGTGGAGCTTTCTCTGAATTCTCTAGAATTCTCATCTGTTGACAATTGATGGACTGATCTGAATTCTGTGTGAAATATATCTGGTTGTTAATGATTGGCTGGAAATCAGGCGGTCACACCCCTAACCGATGACTCCTCATCTGTCGGCAGGTTTCCCCACTGACAGCTGAATGTCCACAAAAGAATTGTCAGCAATTACAAATTGTGGAAAACCCCTCAGAATGTCTCTGAGAAGAAATGATATTTTATCTTCTCTCCAACTCAGACTATATTTGTCTTAGACGTAAGAGGCCCAAAATCCCGAGTCCCTGTCAGGTCTGAGCTCCAGCCGGATACAATCACCTTCTCCACTCACATAGTTTGCTTTTGTAAATGAAGTGAGTACAGAATTGAGGAAAGCGAGGACACACCGGCAACAACAATGGGATTCTGTCCTATCTCCTGCACCCGGAGCAAATGAACAACATGTACCAGCCTTCCCAGCCCCATCAATGTACACTGTGGAGGCATCTTGTATGTAGACTCTGGATTCAACAAACCAGCAGCCTGGCCATTCAGGAACGTACCATTGTTCAGCTCTGGGGGGGGGGGGGAAACAAACATCTCTCATG